TTTTTTCTATACAATCCAAGGTGTTTTTGTTTTCCTAGCAATTTTAGAGTAACCTTTGATAGAACGAAGCAAGATTACAAAACGAATGACAGCCAAAGATCCGCTTAAGTCGTATTCCGGGTAAAGTTTTGTGGAGAAAATGAAGAATTAACATCTGGGAATCGTATTTCTGCGAAAAAAATGCGATCCCTTCAACTTAGTTATTATTCAGTAGACACGTACTGGCACTCAAGTATTCACTTGATTTATTCTGCGCATAAAAAACGAGAAAAAAGACAGATCAAAATGGCAAACTCCGTCCCCAGCTCCTCCCTCTTGTGTGATTGTATACTGCAAGCCATAGTTAGTGAAATCATCTCTGTATGTGCCTTAATTGAAAAATACCAACTCGAAATAAAGAGAAGTTTTTGCAAGTTTTTTTTATTTTTATTTTTTTCTAAGCCTCGGAAAAATTCCACCAAATACATCTTTTGGTACTAATACGCGGCTACTGTAGGATGACCAAGTTGGAGGTCCGTAGAGAATTTTTCGAATAGAGAAAGTTGAAAAAGTTTGATTTTCTTCTCCAAATATTACTTGGATCACTTTTAGGGCGGATCTTTGCTGGAATTTTTGTAGAGCTAGCATCGCTCCATCATAGCCTAAGTTGTGAGAAAAACAAAAAAAAACAGCTTGATTTATTCAGAAAGGAAATTTACTTTTAGACAACCTATTAAATTTGTTTTAGTAGTCCTTTTGGAGATCTCAGACCAGTCCCTCGGATTCGAAAATCGCAAAATCCAACTAATTTTATCGTAAGTGCTCCATGTTTGAGCCCTATTTAAGCGCAGTAAACTTTGACTATTTTAGGAGCCTCAGTCACCGTCTCGTACAGATCCTCGTCCAGAAAACGTTAATGTTCATCGTAAAGCTGTGGCACTAGAGAGATTATGTAGCCGGTAAGAGTTTCATTATGAAGAGAAAGAAATAATCATACAATTTTTCCATTTTAGGTTCCTTCCAACTGTTAGAAAACACTGTCATGAACATCATACAGCTAAGGAATATGTAAAGCGATGCGCAGCATATTTCCATGTAAGTATCATTGGTAAGTTTTCTCAATAAATAAAAATTCAGTGAATTTTCAGGATTGCCAAGCTTTTCTGCCAAGATCAGATCCTCTCTACAACATTGCCTATGGTTTCAACTCAAATGTGGGTTTAAACCTCGGCACGGTCGAAGTTAATGGCATACCATACTACCCGATAAATGAAGAAGGTAAGTCTCTCTTCCACAGTCGTTGTTTTATGAAGATTGAAAGTCTTCTCCAAGAACGTTATTTCTAAAGGATCTATCGGGGTCGGAAGAGTTGCGAATGTTCCGTTTGGATCATGGGGTGGAGGATACTCAGAAAATCTTGGAGTAAGGTAAGTTTAGGTCCAATTTCATCGTTTTTTTT